TTTTGTAAGAATTAATTTTAAACTTTAGCCTTGAAGAGTTGTGCGTGAAGCCATTGAAATTAAAAAATACAAGAATTTCAATTGGGAAGACGGTTTCAAACTCTCTGCCACTTGGAATCCAGTGATTAATAGTTTTCAATCTCGCTTGACTTCGCAATGGAATCGAAATACGGACGCACCGACGGCATCACACAGTAGGGACACAATAAGCGTAGTGTGTGACGGTACTTGGAGAATAATAAACATGGGGGTAGAATTAGATGATTCTACCCACCATACGGATCGCGCACTCGATTATGTATGTATAATAATTCAATGTTACCTATCCGCGTTTCGCGTTAAAACCTGTTTAATAAATTAATTCAATTTTTGTAAGAACTTTTTAATAAATTTTCGTGAAATTCTGTAGAAATCTTGAAAAATTGTTATTGAGCTAAGGGAAAACATGTTGGGTAATAAAGTCCATTTTAAGTCATTTATTGGCATAAACAAAATAGAGAAAGCATAATTAAGGGGTAGTTACTTATAGAAAGCGCAATTTACATTTTCGTGATCTTAAAAGGGAACTTCCCGTTGGATCGGAGTTTACTCAAAGGGTTAGGTACTACTTAATTATTAATAGGAACCTAATTACATCTGCATAATACTTATTACAGCAAGTCTTCCATTTAGCTATCAATACTTTAAAATTAAACACAACATTAAACACAAATTTACAGAAATCTGTGAAATCTAACAGCAAAAATATTGACTCTACTTTTTCAGCAGGGAGGTGAACAACCGTACCAAAGGTTTGAAACAAGCTCAGATCAGTGACTAGACGAATTCCTTAGCGCCTTAGAAACTACTCGCTCTTGCGCTCTACTTTTTTCCAATAAAATATATGAAAAACTTATTCAAGAATAGAATCATGGTTCTGTGAAAAGGTGTTTCGATAGAGCTTAGAAAATGGACGTGGAAAAAGCTAGTGAAAATCGCATGTAAAAGTATATTCACATTACACGTGCGTATTACTTATACAGGGTGGCATGGCGCTTTAAGTATGGATCAAACAAAAAGATTGATTGTACGGCTTTAATGCAACAACTTTACAACAGAAGCAGTAGGTATATCAGTGATTGTACGGGTCTCTCAAAAAACATAACCCTCCTGGCGCAATCGGGTAAAAATTATGCTCCATCGACATGTAACTATGTGAACATAACCTACCTTATGCTTCCCTTTTCACTAACATTCGTATAGTATAGCATTGACGTATCATTCCATCCGGCCATTCTATATAGAGATTACCTATTTGCAGTTTTAGGTACGATAAGTCCGTTTAGTTTTGCAGTTAAATTATTTTTTCTTGTTACTTTATTTCTATCATTGTGTAAAAGCTGCGCACGTGACATTGGCGGAACAGTGTGCCCCCAGTGGCGAAAAAACACAAGTCCATCGCCATCAACAAATGAAGAAGTACCTATTTGCACTCAAGTAACTATAAATAATGATTGACGATATACCTACAACTAACGCCCGATTTCATTCAGATTCAATTGGATTCAGAAAGCTCCAAGCAAGTACTCCAGAATTTATACAAATTGTAGGCGTAGTTTCTGAGATTTCATGATTAATCAGTAAGCCATATTTAATTATGTACTAGCGACCCGACCCAGCTTCGCACGGGTGCTAAGTGTATATTATTATATAAACTTTCCTCTTGAATCACTCTATCTATTAAAAAAACCGTATCAAAATCCGTTGCGAAGTTTTAAAGGACAGTCAATACAGAGGAACAGACAGCGGAAAGCGACTTTGTTTTATTACTAATGTAGTAAATTACACTTAGCACCCGTGCGAAGCCGGGTCGGGTCGCTAGTACCTACATAAGTAGAAGAAAGATAAGTACTGATACAGATAAGTAAAGCTAACCTACCTTATTTAATTTCAATGTGGCATTCGACTAGAATCGTCTTCGCATGCGCACGTGGTTATTTGGAAGTTAAAACACAATGTCACGCGACTCACGAGACACACTTCTACCTACTTACCTATAACATTACCTACAGTGCAGTTAACCAAATCTATATCTAACTGACAACTTTTTATAAAAAAAATTACCGTTAAAGTAACTCGTTCGTTACTTCGTTTATTTCCCTCCAATTACNTCAATTACCTAATTCGTCTAATTTAGGAGGTTGTATCTAATTGTCTGAATTTAGACATTCCATTTTATGGATCCTGTTTTCCTCATATTATTATGTTCTTCTAATTAATTTTGTTGCGGGTCTAATGACAGTTTAACTTTCCCCCCGGGACAAAGACCTTCACTGGTTGAGTTTTTATTGGCGATCAAGCTGTAGATCCTGGCTACACAGGAGTTGCAGCCTTGCAGCAGTGGGAACGAGAGTTTTATTTTTTATGGATCCTATAAATGCTCATTATTTTGTGTCTCTATTGTAATAAAGAGTAATGAAAATCAAACTACAAAATCATTAGATTTGGATACCGAATCAGTTTATGTTTAATATAGGTACCTACTTTAGTCCAGTCAATAAAGCATTATAGATGGAAATCCGTGGAACACAATTTCTGACCTCGGGACTTTATTTAGACTAGTTAGGAGGTGAACATAGCAAAAGTCCCCGCCCTTAGCCCTTGAGCCGGCGGGAAGAGGGGGGTTTAAAGGTACCACTTTTATGTTTTTCGCTTAATCCTCGGAAACTATGCGTCCTAGTGACATGACTACTATGAACCGAGAAAAGCTTATTGAATTTGCTACAGGTGAGATAGTCAAGTTTTTATATTATCTTGTATAGTTTTCGCGGCATCTGTTCTAGAAGGTCTGTAATATTGGAAATTTTATTTTTGTCTTACATGTTCCCATCAGGAGAAAATCGACTAAATCAACATTGAGCTAATATTTTAGACCTGCGGGAGCATGTTAAGCCTAGTTCTAGGGAGGGGACTGTACCTTAGACGAACCACTTGGAGCCACTTTTGACTCCTCATCACTCAAAAAGTACTGTGCATTAACACTTCAAATTTGGCTCATGAGTTGAGACTTGCAAGATAAACATCAGCTTCAAATTTCATAAATATACCTCAAACGGTTCTTTAGGTATTAACGTCCAAAAATCTACATGGCTGACCTATAAGACCAAATTCTAACCACTTCCAGGTGACCTTGAAGGTTCAAATTTGGCATCCAGATAGGTAGTTTTGTAAATACAAAGGAACAAATAAAAAAACAGTAAGTTTTAACATTTCACAGGTGATAGATATATTTTAGTGTCCTAAATGTCGAAAATTCAATAAGCTTTTCTTGGTTCAATAGTAGTCATGTCACTAGGACGCATAGTTTGCGAGGATTAAGCGAAATACCGAAAAGTGGTACCTTTAAACCCCCCTCTCCCCGCCGGCTTAAGGGCTAAGGGCGGGGACTTTTGCTATGTTCACCCCCTAACTAGTCTAAATAAAGTCCCGAGGTCAGAAATTGTGTTCCACGGATTTCTCTCTACACCGTCGTTAAGGCATTCATTGACTGGACTACTTGTAGATTGTAAGAATATTAAATTACCTATCATAAAGGTGTTTACTTATTGTTGATAATATCTATCATGATGCATAAACATGACCTCTTGAACTTTGGATCATCATTCAAAGATTCTGCATCATGACAACAACAGACAACATTAAAATTAACTCTTTGACACTTTCTCAAATTAGAAACTGAAGAGTTTTCAATCTTGAAAAAAATCTAAAGTCAAACTGAATGGTAAATATATGCACCTACCTACTAATATTAACATAGTATGTATAATTTGTTATAGGTACATCCTTTTTACCATTCCTTCAGTGTAATTTTTCAGGATTGCAAACTCTTCAATTTCTAATTGCAGTTTTCATTTAAACGTGTGTGTTTAAAAGTAATCACTAATTTTAACTGTAAATTATAATAATGTCGATGGATATTCACTTTTGTTATAAGTAATGAAACAAAAAAAATAAACAAACAGAAGCTCAAAGTTGCACAGCGTGCTATGGAGAGGGCTATGCTCGGTGTTTCTTTACGAGATCGAATGAGAAATGAGGAGATCCGTAAACGAACTAAAGTCGCTGACATAGCCCGTCGGATTAGCAAGCTGAAGTGGTAATGGGCAGGGCACATAGTACGCAGAACTGACGGCCGATAGGGCAGCAAGGTTCTGGAGAGGAGGCCGCGTACCGAAAAACGCAGCGTGAGACGTCCACCTACAAGGTGGACCGACGACATCATAAAGGTAGCAGGAAGGCGCTGGACGCAGGCTGCTACCAACGGGGAAACATGGAAAGCATTGGGGGAGGCCTATGTTCAGCAGTGGACGTCCTATGGCTGAGATGATGATGATGTAATAAACAAAAACAATATCGAATCGTATTACACTGAAGTTAACGTCATTGCAACAACAATGCTTGTCAAGAACACATTATTTGATTGCCAGTTGACTGCGAGGCTGTTGCGTATTGTTTTTATAAGTAAGTAGGTAATATTTATTTTTCACTGTCTTCCTATAAATTACCTACATCAAAATTTGTAGTGGTAATAGGGAATACGAGTACCTATACACAAAACAATATTTCGTTATAATTATGTTGTTATCTCTACAGAAGACTAAATATTCTAATAAATATTTTGGCCCAAAAATTAGATATGGCAAGTAATTAAATGAGATACCTGAAACGATTCATTAATTAGACACCATGACGTAATAGGTATGTTCGCAACGCCTGATCTTCATTCTTTAAGCCTTCCAAATCTTTCTGTCATCAACTGATTAACGCCCGTATTCACAAACGATGCTTGCTTAAGTGAAGCAGCAAATCGAAGGCACAGCGTTGAATAGAGCTCTGTAATTAGTTCGTGTGTCACCATGTACGTCCACTGTGAGACCTAATAGTAATGTTTGTGAATACGGGCGTAATAAGACACAAATGATCTTAATAGGTACTAATTCAGATTTTTTATCGAATGGTCGGAACCTTGAGAAATTCGTCGGTTTTCCCAACATCCGCAGTCCAAGCCTTCTCGTCGCCACAGTAGGCGTAATCCCATTTAATGTTGCGAACGTGACAAGCTAATGAAGAATATTAATCGGCACACATTATAGGCCATTCATTGCGATGCACAAAAACCAAATGCTAGGGATGCAGCCGGTATATAAGGACTGGTGGAACCAACATCGATATCACATTCAGGCGAGCTTCCAAAATGGCGGTAAGTTTTATAGATTAATCTATATTTAACAAGATAATCGTAAAATTTAAATAAGTAATAACTCATATATTTTTTTTAACTTTATGTAATATACTTATTTGTTAAGAAAAAGCACTTAATGCAAGTCAGTGAAACTAACTCTATAAAAGCTTTAAGTTTAAAGCTCTTACTAAATGGTAAGATGCTGAACATTGTGAGACAAATTGTGAGCGTCAGCCATTACAAGCCCATGGTCGCATTTTTCCTTGTCAATTGTCATCTAGTTAAATTATTAGATGCTAATTTTAATTCAAGTATCATCAGCTGCATGTAATAAAATAGCTACGAGTTCCTACTAGTTTTTATAAACTTTTACTTCAATTGCAGACGGTATCACTGCTCTTCGCGCTTGTAGTTGCCATTTCTTCAGGCGTTATGGCTCTACCTGGTAAGTTATTGAACAAATAATGTCAAATACTTATTAAGAATTAAAAACCGTACTTACCTTACGAACGTGTCACAAGTCACAAACCGTGCTATGCTGAAAATACTGTAGTTTCATTAAAATCCGTCCAGTAGTTTTTGCGTGAAAGAGTAACAAATATGTTAACATCCAGACATCCATACAAATTTCACTTTCGCATTTTAGTATAATATTAGTAGGATTAACTACTGCTATTGTTTACAGCACATTACAGAAATAATGATCATTTGCTTGATAGGTGGCGGTGGCTGGCAAGGCGGCGGCGGCGGCGGTGGCGGCTTCCCCTCTGTGGCATCCGCCCGCTCTGGCTTAGGCGGCTGGGGAGGCAGCAGTAGCTTCGGAAGATCCAGCAACTTCGGCTCAGGGTGGGGTGGATCTAACGGCCTTGGACGGAGCTCAGGCGGATCTTGGGGATCAAATGGTTTTGGACGAAGCTCTGGGTCAGGATGGGGATCCAACGGAGGATTTGGAAGAAGCTCCGGTTCAAGCTGGGGATCTAACGGGTATGGAGATGGCGGATTTTCCGCACGAGACAGCTCTTCATGGGGAGACTCCAGCTTCAGATCAGGCTCGGGCTGGGACAGCTCCGGTGGAGACTTCCGATCTTCCAGCTGGTAGGACTATCTGATCTCAGCGTGTTCACGATTTAGAATGAATTGAAAAATGAATATGGATTTTGAATGTGCTTGCTTGTGCAATATACCCACTAGTTATGTATCATTAAAAGCAGTAAATTAAACGGTTTCAGCTACAAAGTGTTTTACTTCGATAAACTCGTTCGCGATACGTGATTAGTTGGTAACATATTGATTTGATTCGTGTGTTAGACTGCAAATGTCTAATTAAGGTTTCGTTTTCATTGTTTTGGTACATGAAATAGGCGGAGCTCTCGTAGATTGAGTGCAAATAATGCATGGTGTTTTTGTTCGTGAATTTGAAGACAAAAGCTTTTCCAATAAGAACATGAATACTTTTGAAGGAATACATTTTTAATTAAAATGAGAGCGAAGTGTTTGTAGTAAAATATACCTAGACATTGACAAACAAACGTAGCCTGCTCATGAAAATTTAACTTCTTTCGCTGTGACGTCAACGCGTTTAAGGGCATAAGACAATATACATATGTTTTTCCCGTAAGTTAATGACATCATGAACAAATCAAATAGATGAAGAGTATTGCTACATGGTTTAGATACTGGATGACTTTAACCCATTGTGGCAATAGTACTTTTCGACGCGATCATACCTATTAGAGCTCTATGGTAAAAGAGTCGATGGTATCTGTCTCACTTACCATTTAATTGTGTACTTCAGCATTGTTGGAGAACACTTGCACTTATAAGACTAAAAACGAAATCCTTACTAATTAGTACTTCAACAACACTTCATAATTATGAAGTGGAAGGTAATATCAGTATTACTTACCCAATTAGTTACTTACCTACTCTACTTGCTCAAAATAAGTGATTAAAAATTTGGTTAGTATATTTTATAACATAAAATTATTCTATCATAGAAAATATTGTTACAGAAAAATAAATACCGCTCCCGAATTGTCTTAATAAAAAAAGATAATGAATTCCTGCAGAAAAATATCTTGGTGACCATGATCACCCATAGGATTGAGAACATAGGGCTGACCTTTTGTGTGAGTGATGGGATCAAAATACATTGGCTGGCCATATTTGCTATAATTTCTTTTGTACTAACCCAAGGATTGCAAATTATTGGTTTGTTCAATGCAAAAGACGACATAGACAAGGTATTTGAATGCTTCAGCGTCATGTCTTTTTGTGGCATGGGAATTCTTAAGCTCCTGTCTCTATGTCGAAACCACAAGCAATGGAAAATGCTTTTGGACAACATCAAGCAGTTAGAAAATACACAGTGCCAGAATGAGACCTCGAACGTGGAATATGAGAGTGACGACGATAATGATACCTTTACTTTTCCAAGCTACATCGAATCTTACACCAAAAAGTTTCAAATTGTCTCAACTGTTTTGAGCAGAATGTATGGATTTACAGCAATTATTTACATTCTGTCACCGTTCGCAGAATTTGCCCTTTTGATATTGACTGGCAATGAGGATTATGAGAAGCCTCACGTTTTGCCAGGTTGGGCGCCATTTGATTCATGGAGTTTTATTGGGTACTTAACGAATGTGGCGGTAGAGATAATTTCAGCAACTTATTGCGTATTGGTTCACATTACTTTTGATTTGATATCAATTGGCGTGATGATTTTTATTTGCGGGCAGTTTTCTTTGATTCGTGATTACAGCAGTAATATAGGTGGAAGTGGAGCATCGTGTACTTTGTCGAAAAGAAGAGAGGATCGCGCACATCACAGAATAATAACATGCCACAAAATTCATTGCCTACTCATGAAGTAAGTGTATTGTACTCGTACGTATTGTAAAATCCTCGTACCGTAATCTCCATGCTTATTTACTGAAATGATTATTTTAGTACATGTGACGAATTGGGAAAACAACTGCAGAATATACTGGGAGTGTACTTTTCCGTAGCGACCTTGACTCTATGCTCAGTTGCAGTAAGGCTCAATTCGGTAAGTTAAATCGCATTTAGCGTAATAAAAACACAAACATACTAGGTATACAACTAAACGTAATATTATTTCATTCAGGAATTGAGTCGCATGGAACTTGCGAGCTTACTGCAGTTTATGTGCGCGACTCTCACGCAGCTTTATCTCTTCTGTCATTTTGGACACAACGTTCTGCACCAGGTAGGTATTTGAACTAGTAAAAAATAGTACCAGACAAACAGTACAAAGAGCAAAGAAGTCATAAAAAATATACATTATCTTTGCACCCGCATTGCACTAATTTCTCATCATGCAATGTATTTAAGGCGACGATAAAATTCAATTCAATCACGTGTACCGTTCACGAGTTTAACTTCCATTATCTTAACAGCTATTAATAACCAGAATATTAGTCTCTGCTTAATTACTCACCACGCTATTTGGGAGGAATAGAAAGGGTCAGGGAATTGCATCATCGAGGGTCAGTCAGACAGCGTAATCAGATGACTATGAAGTATTTCTTGGAAAATGCCAAAGCTCCTCCGGCAATCTCTTATACTTCCTGAAAAATCGTTCCTAAAAAGAATAAGGGCCTCTTTCACCGTCTCCGAGTAAAGTTCCAATTAGTTATTTCCTTATTACCACTACTTAGCAAGTAAAATAAGGAGTAATTTAGCGTTATTCCGAGATGGTGAAATTCGACAAATTGCTGCTCGTGACTTTAAGCAACGAATAGCCTACTTTACACTACCTACTCGGAGATGGTGAACGAAACCCTTAGGTCCCGGAAAGTTGTATTTTAACAGCAAAACAATACTGAAGTAAGTTCAAAATTGTAAATATTCCAATTACCTTAAATAAATACGTCCATACAGATATATCTATTTTTATATTACCAGTAGGTATAATTTAACCGTCTAGTATAGCTCATGCATAAATATTGTGATTGTGATGAAGCCAATTGCTGTTTTATTGCACAATTGGAAAGGCGTACAGACTCAGTAAACTTTCCTAACCTTGACGTCAATGAAAGGTCGATTTGAACTATAGGTCTCATCTAATACTGCACATCATGGGCGATAACAACGTACAAGTTGACACTTATTACTTCATGTGCGTACGTGAATGGGCACATGTTACTGACGTTTGTTCATTTTTAAATAAATAAGTATCAAGTTGATACGATGATAAGGGAATTTGCGAGTATATTCGCTTATCTTAACTTTTTATTCAGATGCCCAAAAAGTGTTTTGGTTTGACGCAAATGCATTTTAGTCTTATTATGTAAGGTATTTTACGTGATTTGAGCGGGCCTTAGTGGTTTTAGCGGGTCGGGATTATGTTATATTGCGTGTAATTGCAGCTTGAAAACTCCATTCAAATTGAACTGTAGATTTAATTTCATGTTGATGATCGGGAGGGGACTCCCCAACCCGTCTGGCCAGCGTGTGGCAGTATAGACGGAATCATTCAATTGGCTCTAGCAAATGAAAGAGTTATGCTTCTGCAATGTAAACCTCATTTCAGAATAAATGCACGTTTCCTACAACTAACGCTTTCTTTCTAGGCGCAGAAAAGTAGTTTGCCGATAGTTGGGTCCGATTCTGATTTGTATGAAGAATCGGCCGATACCAAATCGGTGTAGGTAATGTGCGCATTTAATACATCTCCATACTGATTAACAGCTCGACCCAACTATCGGCCAACTAAAAGTCGGTGGTCTGTGCCGAGGCTTACTGGTTGTCTACCTAGCGTATGTTTTTAAACAGTTTTCATATATTTTTCAGAGTTCAATAGGAATGGGCGACGGTCCATTTGGGGCTGCCTACTGGTGCCTCAGCCCTCGCATACGCCAAGAACTGGTGATACTAGGCATGGGTATGATGATGCCAAGGTATTTTAAAGCAGGCCCATTCATTTCGGTGGATTTACCTTCGTTTGTTCAGGTAAGTTTAGACCACGTCTTCGCAATGGTTTTGGCATAAGGTTTCGTATGTTTATTTATGAATAATAATAAGAATAACATTATTATTACTTCTAGCCTGTGCTCCAATTTCAAGTAATTCAAAAAATTTTTTTCAGGTTTTACGCACAGCTTATAGTTATTATGCTGTAATACGGAAATGAGCTGATAATGGGGTCATATTAGTAGATAAATTGTCTACATTTACTTAGATTTTTGCACGATATAATGTAGTGATGCAATTGTCATGGAAAATTTTACTAGAGCAGGGGCATTGAGTCAGATCACACCGCAAAGATAAAATCCACCAATAATATGTATGAAGCTGCGCTCACCGAACTCTCTAGAAGGCTGTGAGAAGAACCAGCGTAAATTGACACTTCTGTCGAATTTATTAAGTTTGTTTTTTGAAGTGAAGCATTCACGAATTCATTAATTCACTGCAAGTACGAGTATCGCGGGAAAAACAAGTAATGTGATGGGAATATTTGGAGTAAACAAGGATAAAAAAGAACAATAAGCCGCTACATGAAGCTGCAGACACTACGGCCTCACAAATCTCGACGCAACAACAGTTGACTCACGCCCGTATTCACAAACGATGCTTGCTTAAGTGAAGTAGCAAATCGAACGCACAGCGTTGAATGGAGCTCTGTGATTGGTTTGTGTGTGTGTGTCACGCGCACTGTGAGACCTCATAGTAACGTTTGTTAATACGGGCGTCAGATTATTTTAGCACAGTGCGGATTGATGGATGGCTGGTCACATAAATAAATAGTCGCGAAATTAAAGTAAATATTTAGATTTAACGCAAATAATTATTATTTACTTTATTATTTCAATAAAATGCACTAAAATGTAGATTAAAATACTTTTAATAAAATATTATTAGACTTTTATAGCCTGACCAGGAACATAAAAACCCCGGCATAGAGGCGCCTCAATTGCATTTGATAGTGCAACACTGAGTACAGTCGTACCTGTGTTAAATTAATAGGCTAACTTTATGTATCAGGATTCAGGATTACGGGCTAATTTGATATTTTCATAAATTAACGAAAAAATATTATTATAGGTAACCTGGTTTAAATAAATTAAATAAAACCATCAATCGAGCTAGTAGGATTTATTTTATTATTCATCAATAATCAAATTCAGAACTTGAATATTCAACTACAATGTCTGCTCATGAACGCATCAAACTCGGTACTTCTTTCCCAATTTCATAAAATTCAACACTTAGAAAGTGACAAAAAACTTTAAAATAGGTAGTTGAAACCACAGCTAATTTTCATAGTGGACTGTACTATACGATAAACATGTCAGTCAATTTGACAACCTTTGTTGGAAACATTATTCAGTGAAAATATTGTCCGAACCCTTAGTATTTCTCTTCGACAAATACTTTAACACATTTTGAACCACTTTTCTTTCACGACTTTAAAAAGATTTTAGCAATTTAATTCACAAAATCAATTGCACACATTAAAATAAAGTTTGTTTACACTTTGACAGCAATAGACTGACATGCAAAGTGACAACTCAATGAAGTTTTCAGTTACTGTTGCCATTAAAAGAAATTAGTACCATTAGTTTTCCGCAACATGGCGAGGGTTTTTATGTTCCTGGTCGGGCTATACAATAGTATTAAATTCGTACATGATTCCATAACAATAATAACTTATTTAAATAACAATTAGGTAATACAACTTATGATTTCTATTTACAATATGATTCTATACATAATTTGGTTTAGTATACATTTTTATTCAGCCCGGGTCCAACTAGCAGCATTAAAAAGAATAAAAAAGAATTGCGACTTTTCCAGTTCAATTCAAGTTTATTTATTTATTTACTAGCTTTCCGCCCGCGGCTTCGCCCGCGTGGAATTTTGTCTGTCACAGAAAAACTTTATCGCGCGCGTCCCTGTTTCAAAAACCGGGATAAAAACTATCCTATGTTCTTTCCCGGGACTCAAACTATCTCTATGCCAAATTTCATCAAAATCGGTTGCGAGGTTTAAGCGGGAAAGCGTAACAGACAGACAGACAGACAGACAGACAGACAGACAGAGTTACTTTCGCATTTATAATATTAGTTGGGATTGGGATTTTGATAAGTTTATCTGGGACTATAACCCTTTACTGGTCTGGTTTGATTCGTGGTCAATGGCCGTAGATCCTGGATAGACAGGAGTAGAAGTGTTAGAATATAGATTTAAGAAGAGTCCGATAGTTCTCTAGGTTTTAACGGTAACGGTCCCTGTGCTACATAGAGTACGTTCTCTAATGTTACTATTCTCTCGTTTGAGCACATTGGGCAGTAGCATTGTGGGGAAACCTAGTGGTCTAGGCAGGATCCAGACTTTTAACAGAACATGTACTACACATAGTACATGCCCAATTTTTACTATGTATCATTGAGTACAGAGATTCCCACCTTAGGCAGTTCAATTTTTCACTGCAGACCCACGATACCGCGCCGGTCCTCGTTTGCCAACTTTACTCCCAGGGGTATCGTGGGTCTGAAGTGTAGTTCTTTAACGAGACCCACGATACCACCAGGGGTATCGCCAGGGGTATCGTGGGTCTGCAGTGCAATTTCACTTTTCAGGTTCACAACATCAGCCTATTCATTTTGTAGTAAAATAACCCTTACATCGAAATAAGATACCACAGTATTGATGGATGTGCTGTCGTCTGTACAAGATTTTAAATTTGGATAAATATTGAAAATTTAACTCATTGGAATTTTCTCATATTAGGGGCATGTACCTATCTACACTCGACAAATAAATCGACCCTCCCGCGACAAACACTTTCAATAGTATGCATCCCCACTTCCCACCAATATTGGCACCATTTAAAAGCCTAGTTCTAAACTTCATTTCATTAAAGGAAAGGTTTTTACCCCAAAAATGTGTCTGTAGAAGAATCCAGTCACTTCTTAAAAAATAGGTAGTTACGCTTGAGCTAACTTTTATGGCTATAAAACGAGAAGAGTTAAGTTGGGATTAATCGCTATCCATCTGTTAAATAGGACACGTGAGATCATTATTTGGTTTTATAACCATAAAAATTGGTTCAATTAGACCAATTTACTAATAAATACGAGTAGGTACTCGATACTTTTGATTCGAATCAATTTAGCGATACATAATCGGTATCGAAACAAAAATACTTGGTATCGAATCGAATCAGCAAAACAACCGAAAACGAGATGAAGTTTCTCTTTATTTATCAAATCCAGTAGTTTCTCTTAAAAGCAACCCATTTGCAGAATGGGATGACATGAAGTTGGTGTTTCCTTGTCTTTACAAGTATGCACAGCAATATTTAATTGTTGTTGCAACATCAGCTCCTAGCAAGTGCCTTTTTTCCAAAGCCGGTGCAACAATGACACCAACAAGGAACAAGTTACTGTTTTTGGGCAATCTTAATGCTGAAGAGGTTTTGTTTAAATTAATAATAAGCCTAATAAGCATTTATAATAAACTAGCTTTCCGCCCGCGGCTTCGCCCGCGTGGAATTTTGTCTGTCACAGAAAAACTTTATCGCGCGCGTCCCTGTTTCAAAAACCGGGATAAAAACTATCCTATGTTCTTTCCCGGGACTCAAACTATCTCTATGCCAAATTTCATCAAAATCGGTTGCGAGGTTTAAGCGGGAAAGCGTAACAGACAGACAGACAGACAGACAGACAGACAGACAGACAGAGTTACTTTCGCATTTATAATATTAGTTGGGATAAATAGTTATTTTCTTCTCAATTTTGTTTAAATTATTGTCCTTCAACGTACATTGATAGCACCCTCAAAATAATAAAACAAAATAAAAGTCCCAAAAAGTATCGATATCAGTAACTATCGATACTTTAGGAGTACTTATTTAAGTAGTATCGAAAAAAGATTTGAGTATTATCGAAATGAGTAGGTATCGATACTTAGGTGGTATCGGAACATCCCTACTAATTGATCCCAGAGGTGAGCCCAAAGTGAGGTCTTTTTTCAAGTCACATTTATGGTATATGTTAATCATTTATTAAGAAATGAAATGTGTTTTTTTAAAGATATTTATTGAGATTTTAAATAACACCAATATTGTTGGGGTACCATGATTGTGTCAGAAGAAAATCTTTAATGTTCGCGTCGCGGGCGGGTCGATTTATTTGATGCCGAGTGTATATGAGTAAAGCCTGGTCCGTGAGCACGTAGAATTTTGTCCAATGACCCCAAGCTACCCATCCTTATCGCTCGCGTGTAATTATATTTCTGTCGCGACTGTGCGACGGGCGCCCGCGCCCCACAGTGAGTGTGCGAGCGTGACAGCAGCAGGCTTTAGTCTTATTTTAAAAGGATGCCGATGATTTCAAAGGCACCCTGTATACCAGTCTTTCCCAAAGTGGGCGATAACGTCCCCTTGTGGGCGCTGCAGGCGTAAAGGGGGGCGGTAAGAGACCCAAAAAACTCGGGACGTTGTGTAGAGTTGTAGAGGCTTGGGAGGCGTCATCTACTAGGAGGACTCTTAGACACTGACTGAGCTCGACTTTTGACTACAAAAATGGGGGGCGCTAAAAAATAATTCATTCTCAAAGTGGGCAGTAGACTAAATAAGTTTGGGAACCGCTGCTGTATACAGTGAAAGGGTTAAGATGAGATCAAGTAAGTACCGCGCTAGGCCACGTGTTGTTCCAGCCAGGTGGCCACCGCGGCTTGGTGCGAGGCGGCCCACTTGATGTTGCCTTTGACGGTCTCTAACGCGCGACGTCTCGCCGCTTCGCCCGCGCCCGCTTCTGGGTACTGCTCGAAGAACGCCTCCATCTAGAACAAGAAAAAGATTATAATAATTATCATTTACGGGATTACTGCTACCATATACCTCAATTTTGAGTTTCCGATATTTCGGCACTGTTGCAAGCGCCATGGTCACGGAGTTACTGAGAAAACTTGCGGGTGAGATGTTATGGGCAGATTTATCGGTCTACCCTCTTTCGCAGTCTTTTATTACGATTGCCTCCTCCCGTACCACTGTTCACCAACTCACTATTTTCTCGCAACTGTTCTCGACACACAGCACTTACAGTATCCGAAATTAAGGTACATCCCGTAAATAATCCCGTAAATAATAATTATTATGTTAGTAACCATGAGAGTTTAAAACAAGAAAAATATTATTACATTAATTTTTTGGAAGTTTGTTGTTAATAGGACCTTTTACGCGCAAATATATTTTTAATGGAAATAATTACCTTTGAATGACGAAAATAAGTATTGAGAAGCAACGCTAAAAACCTCAAGTCACTATTGATTGTAACTCTTTTTTCAATTAATTTGCATGTTTATGTACTGGTCTGAGCTAAACGGTGAGCTAGAGGTTTTAGAATTTAATTACTGATGTCATCTCATGGCATATGTGTGCCATGCTTTAGGCTATTGGACGAATGTCCTACTAGTAGTACAAGTAAAGTACACTCACCTCTTTGGAGATAAACGAACTAGTGCTGCCAGGTATTAGGTTGCCCAAGTACCGAGTTAAGTTAAAGTTAAGAGTAAACCGCTCTGTTAGCTAGCTATTATAGTCTTTTTCACGTAAGATGATTCGTATGACGTTTCGAGTTTGAAAGTTATAGAGATGTCACATAACTAAACCATAGCGATTTATCAATCGATTTTTTTCTAAGAGTTAGTAAAACCTACTTTTAGAGAAAAATTTTGTATAGGTGTCATTTAACAAAAAAACATGTTTTTTTAATTACAAATATTTTTTATCAATTTTTTATTGATAATATTCAAATTCCATGGACTTCGTGTTCAAAAAAACGATTCCTAAAAAGTACTGGTTCTATTTCTTTAAATTAAAAACTTTTAATTTATTTTCAATGCGTTTATTAAAGTCAACAATCGAAAAATATAGTTGGTTTTTGTGATGTTTTTAATAACTAAGTATTCACTGCAATCGATTAATGAACCGCGGAAATAATCGATTTTGTTATACAACAAATACCCCAGCACTAAATCTATTCCGTTTCACACATTAAATAAAAAATATTTTTACATCGTATTTAATTAAAATATTATCAATAGACTCAGATTTTACTATATATAGTAAAATCTGAGTCTATTGATAATATTTATTGTCTTGAAATATATATATTTCAAGACAATAGTAGTTTTTTTTTTTTTATTATATTGCTAATAAAATACAAATATTTTTTCAAAAATATTCTGCAAATGTAGTATGCGTACTATGGATAACCTTGAAGTGTCATACGGATCATCTTAGGTGAAAAAGACTATAGTATCTAATGATTCATGTAATTCCTGAGGTGAATGAGCTAAGGGAGGCAGGAGGTAGGTGTGAACGAGCTTGTGTTGTTACATATTCTCTAAGATTACGTACCTCTTTAAGCCTAAGCTGCGAGTTAAACGAGCTAGTGATGCCAGGTATCAGATTTCCCAGGTACCGGCTGTTAAGTGTGAATCGGTCTACTAGCTCCGGCCAGCGCGAGCGAACTTCGTCCCACACTAGTGCAGTGCCAGACGGATTGGAGCTGATGTAATGCAGCACGTTTAGGAAGTCTTGACTGCGAATGTTCTTTTCATCCCAGGATAGATATAAGTACCTGGAAGAAGGTAGGTAGGCTTTATTTGAAAGAAAAAAAAACTACCGACGTTTATTTTGAAAGATTATTATTACGGTACAATTTTGAAAGATTATGTTGGGATTTTTATACAGTTTTAGAAATAACAAAATATTGCTGCGTCTGTTTTATTTGAATCTTCCGTACATTTCATTACTGTTTTTTTAGGCACTTAACTGCATCGTTTTTAGGGTTGAATGAACTTACTTTTTAAGGAGCTCGGGATCCCGCGGTCCTGCCAGCGCATTCCTTAGCTTAGTTTGTTCCTGCGCATCTTCTTCTTTCAGGTAAATCTGCCAAAGCTTATCCCATTCGGCCTGGCTAGAAGATTTCATACCTGTAGGGAAAACAAAAACATAAATTAGTGCAGTTACACCCGATTTGACGATTTTAGGCCATCCTACTAATATTATAAATGCGAAAGTTTGGATGTCTGAATGTTTGTTACTCTTTCACGCAAAAACTACTGAACGGATTTTGATGAAACTTTACAGTATTATTGTTTATAACCCAGAATAACATATAGGCTATAATTTATGACGATCTGTGACAAACGAAATTTTACGCGGGTGAAGCCGCGGGCAAAAGCTAGTCTGTAATAAATACGTCTTAAAGGTTTTTGAAGTTAGGTTAGCTATTCGAAATTAGGTTTTTCGAATAGTTAGGTTTTCGTAGTTAGTTTTCAGAAAGTTGTGTTTACAAAGTTAGGTCTTCGGCAAATTTTGTTTTTGGAGTGAGGTTTTCAAAAGTTATCTTATAGCAGTTCGGTTTTATGTCAATGTTTAAAGCCTGGCCCGTGAGCACGTAGAATCCCGTCCAATGACCCCAAGGTACCTATCCCTATCGCTCGTGCGTAATTATGTTGCTGTCGCGACTGTGCGACGGGCGCCCGCAGTGAGTGAGCGCGACAGCAACATTATTACGCGCGAGCGATAGGGATGGGTAGCTTGGGGTCATTGGACGGGATTCTACGTGCTCACGGGCCAGGCTTTAGTTGTCAACTCACCATAATAATAGACGAAGTCCCTAAGGTCAGGCTCTATGGTGGAAGCTTTGTCAGTCCCGTGGTTGTTCAGCCAGTCCAGGAATAGGGCCCTCACTTTATCCTCGGCTTCTGGCAATCGACACCTTGTGGCCAGGGATAGTATCCTCGTTCTTAATAATCTGAAAAAGATTTAAAGTTATGATTTTATGAACCAGTTCTACTAGAAATAAGAAGGAACAAAAATCCAGGTTGTTATAACATAATCTCATAACTGGCCATAGCCTATTATTTTAAACTAGAATTCAAAGATTATTATATGGTATATTTACATGATCTGAACAAATAGATTACTCACCCTTCAATTACACCAATTTTACTTCTTTCCCAACTCTGCTTCGCATACAAAGGACTCACAAGCTTTTGAGTATATTTCTGTGGGAGAAAAACTTTTGCACTATTTGACTTATTGAACAAATTAATAAACGCACGACACCACACCTATAATCGTTGTCTCGAACTAGAAATCTTAATAATTCTACGGGCGGGTCTACCAATATCCCCTGACGCAAGCCAAATTTGGAAATATAGAATTTCTTGCCTACCATACGCCCTACTGGAATCGAACTCGGAACTCCACGAATTGGGATCAGGGATTTCCTCGAAACTGATTAACTGATTCTTATCTGAAGTTTTTGCAAATAAAATGTTGGCTAACACATCCCTAATGTTACTTGATATTTCGAAGAACCTTTTGGTGTAATTCATTCCTACCTGCAGCTTATCATGCACCACAGTCCCCATCAGTTTATCAGCCAGTCTCGAGAAGACCGCCGAAGCAGTCTCCCAGGGCACGTAGTCTTCTTCCACCGACAGGTAGCCAGTCAGGTCGAGCGCTAGCCCGTACGGCGCTGCCTTAGTCTCGGCCAGCGCAAACACGTCGTCTAGCAAGTTGGAGCGGTCTGATATTGTTAGCTGGAAATATTGAAATTACTTCATTAAGGCGATTANCTGATAATACCTATTCAACAAAAAAATAATCGTTCAAATTGATTTATAATCGGCGGAGATTATATTGCGTATAAAAAAGTTCATCCCAAATTTTCCACCCTTGGGGGTTGTTTTTTCTATTATTAAATTTAAATGGGACCACCCTTGAGGTATTACCTATACGCCGAAAAAAGATTTGTTCAAATCGGTTCATAATTGGCGGAGTTATCGCGTAACAAACATAGAAAAAAAAACATACGGGTCGAATTGAGAACCTCCTCCTTTTTTGAAGTCGGTTGAAAATGGTGCTTGACTCTTGAGACAGGCTAAATTACACCATATTGTAAATGACATTGAGCATACATTTTTTTAAATACGTTCGCGAAGTAAAATTTCTGTACGTAGTACTTATTATTATTCTGTGCTATAACCCTTTACTGGTCTGGTTTGATTCGTGGTCAATGGCCGTAGATCCTGGATAGACAGGAGTAGAAGTGTTAGAATATAGATTTAAGAAGAGTCCGATAGTTCTCTAGGTGTTAACGGTAACGGTCCCTGTACTACATAGAGTACGTTCTATAATGTTACTATTCTCTCGTTTGAGCACATTGGGCAGTAGCATTGTGGAGAAACCTACTTGATAACGGTCCAATAATGGTCTAGGCAGGATCCAGACTTTTAACGGAACATGTACTACACATAGTACATGCCCAATTTTTACTATGTATCATTGAGTACAGAGATTCCCACCTTAGGCAGTTCAATTTTTTCAGGTTATTTTAAAAATATTTATATCGAGAGGCGACTCTTAACGCCAGAAAAATTTGTATAACTACAGGAGTGACTTTGAAATCTTTAACATCCTTTTAATATAAGACTTTACTCATGATATACATTATAGTGGATTCTCCAAATATGAGACAAATCCAATGACATTTTTTGTCGTTACTTTTACTATGTATTTGTATTAGTGTGCTCTTATAAACAGTTTAAAACTATTGAACAGTCAACAGCACATCAGCTTTTTCATTTTGTTGCAAAAAATAACCCTTATTACATCGAAATAAGATGCCACAGTATTGATGGATGTGCTGTCGTCTGTACAAGATTTTAAATATGGATAAATATTGAAAATTTAACTCATTGGAATTTTCTCATATTAAAGGCATGTACCTATCTACACTCGACATCAAATAAATCGACCCTCCCGCGACAAGCACTTTCAAATGTATGCATCCCCACTTCCCACCAATATTGGCACCATTTAAAAGCCTAGTTCTAAACTTCATTTCATTAAAGGAAAGGATTTTACGCCAAAAATGTGTCTGCAGAAGAATCCAGAGTCACTTCTTAAAAAAATAGGTAGTTACGCTTGAGCCAACTTGTATGGCTATAAAACTGTTAAGTTGGGATTAATCGCTATCCATCTTTTAAAGAGGACACGTGAGATCATTATTTAGTTTTATAACCATAAAAATTGGTCTAATTGATCCCAGGGGTGAGCCCAAAGTGAGGTCTTTTTCAAGTCACATTTATGGTATATGTTAAACATTTATTAAGAAATGAAATGTGTTTTTCTTTAAGGATATTTATTGGGCTTTCAAATAACACCAATATTGTTAGGGTACCATGATTGTGTCAGAAGAAAATCTTTAATGTTCGCGTCGCGGGCGGGTCGATTTATTTGATGCCGAGTGTATATGAGTAGTCTTATTTTAAAAGGATGCCAATGATTTCAAAGGCACCCTGTATACAGTGAAAGGGTTAAGATGAGATCAAGTAAGTACCGCGCTAGGCCACGTGTTGTTCCAGCCAGGCGGCCACCGCGGCTTGGTGCGAGGCGGCCCACTTGATGTTGCCTTTGACGGTCTCTAGCGCGCGACGTCTCGCCGCTTCGCCCGCGCCCGCTTCTGGGTACTGCTCGAAGAACGCCTCCATCTAGAACAAGAAAAAGATTATAATAATTATCATTTACGGGATTACTGCTACCATATACCTCAATTTTGAGTTTCCGATATTTCGGGACTGTTGCAAGCGCCATGGTCACGGAGTTACTGAGAAAACTTGCGGGTGAGATGTTATGGGCAGATTTATCGGTCTACCCTCTTTCGCAGTCTTTTATTACGAATGCCTCCTCCCGTACCACTGTTCACCAACTCACTATTTTCTCGCAACTGTTCTCGACACAGCACAAAGTATCCGAAAATAATAATTATTATGTTAGTAACCATGAGAGTTTAAAACAATTGAAAAAGATTGTTGTTACATTAATTTTTTGGAAGTTTGCTTTTAATAGGACCTTTTACGTGCAAATATATTTTTTAATGGTAATATATTTTTTAATGGAAACAACGCAAAAAAACTCAGGTCGGTATTAATAAAAGTATTGTAACTCTCCTTTAAATTAATTTGCATGTTTATGTACTGGTCTGAGCTAGACGGTAAGTTAGAGGTTTTAGAATTTAATTTCTGATGTCATCTCATAGCATATGTGTGCCATGCTTTAGGCTATTGGACGAATGTCCTACTAGTAGTACATTTAGTACAAGTAAAGTACACTCACCTCTTTAAGCCTAAGTTGCGAGTTAAACGAGCTAGTAATGCCAGGTATTAGGTTACCCTGGTACCGGCTGTTAAGAATAAATCATTCTACTTGTTACGGCCAGCGCGGACGGGATAAGATTCATTATATGATAGTATCTGAAGATTCACGTAATTCCTGAGGTAAATGAGCTAAAGGAGGCAGGAGGTAAGAGTGAACGAGCTTGTGTTATTACTTATTCTCTAAGATTACGTACCTCTTTAAGCCTAAGCTGCGAGTTAAACGAGCTAGTGATGCCAGGTATGAGATTTCCCAGGTACCGGCTGTTAAGAGTAAATCGGTCTACTAGCTCCGGCCAGCGCGAGCGAACTTCGTCCCACACTAGTGCCGTGCCAGACGGATTGGAGCTGATGTAATGCAGCACGTTTAGGAAGTCTTGACTGCGAATGTTCTTTTCATCCCAGGATAGATATAAGTACCTGGAAGAAGGTGAAGTTTGGGCTTTATTTGAAAGAAAAAAATACTACCGACGTTTATTAATAATAAGGATTTTTATACAGATTTAGAAATAACAAAATATTGCTGCGTCTGTTTTATTTGAATCTTCCGTACATTTCCGCACTTATTTGCATCGTTTTGAGGGTTGAATGAACTTACTTTTTAAGCAGCTCAGGATCCCGCGGTCCTGCCAGCGCATTCCTTAGCTTAGTTTGTTCCTGCGCATCTTCTTCCTTCAGGTAAATCTGCCAAAGCTTATCCCATTCGGCCTGGCTTGAAGATTTCATACCTGTAGGGAAAACAAAAACATAAATTAGTGCAGTTACACCCGATTTGACGATCCCAGGCCATTCGTAAATCCGTCTCGCCATTGGTGTGGTGAAAGGTTAGGTTTTTAAAGTTAGGTTAGCTTTTCGAAATCAGGTTTTCAAATAGTTGGGTTTTCGTAGTTAGTTTTCAGAAAGTTGTGTTTGCAAAGTTAGGTCTTCGGCAAATTTTGTTTTTGGAGTGAGGTTTTCAAAAGTTAACTTATAGCAGTTCGGTTTTATGTCAGTGTTTAAAGCCTGGTCCGTGAGCACGTAGAATCCCGTCCAATGACCCCAAGGTACCCATCCCTATCGCTCGCGCGTAATTATGTTGCTGTCGCGACTGTGCGACGGGCGCCCGCAGTGTGTGAGCGCGACAGCAACATTATTACGCGCGAGCGATAGGGATGGGTAGCTTGGGGTCATTGGACGGGATTCTACGTGCTCACGGGCCAGGCTTTAGTTGTCAACTCACCATAATAATAGACGAAGTCCCTAAGGTCAGGCTCTATGGTGGAAGCTTTGTCAGTCCCGTGGTTGTTCAGCCAGTCCAGGAATAGGGCCCTCACTTTATCCTCGGCTTCTGGCAATCGACACCTTGTGGCCAGGGATAGTATCCTTGTTCTTAATAATCTGAAAAAGGTTTAAAGTTCTGATTTAATGAACCAGTTCTACTAGAAATAAGAAGGATTAAAAATCCAGGTTGTTATAACATATTAACATAATAATATGGAATTCAAAGATTTTAATAAAGATAATATTTTTAAATGGAAATTCCGGGGTATATTCACTTAGACATTATTTACTAAATAGATAACTTACCCTTCAATTACACCAATTTTACTTCTTTCCCAACTCTGCTTCGTATACAAAGGACTCACAAGCTTTTGAATATATTTCTGTGGAAGAAAAACTATTTGAACTATTTGACTTATTGAACAAATTAATAAACGCACGACACGACACGGCACGACCTATAATCGTTATTTCGAACTAGAAATCTTAATAATTCTACGGGTGGGTCTACCAATACCCCTGACGCAAGCCAGATTAGGAAATATAGATTTCCTTACCTACCATACGCCCTACTGGAATCGAACTCGGGACTCCACGAATTGGGATCAGGGATTTCCTCGAAACTGATTAACTGATTCTTACTGAAGTTTTTGCAAATAAAATGTTGGCTAACACATCCCTAATGTTACTTGATATTTTTTCGGGAGCCTTTTGGTGTAATTCGTTCCTACCTGCAGCTTATCATGCACCACAGTCCCCATCAGTTTGTCAGCCAGCCTCGAGAAGACCGCCGAAGCAGTCTCCCAGGGCACGTAGTCTTCTTCCACCGACAGGTAGCCAGTCAGGTCCAGCGCTAGCCGGTACGGCACTGTTTTAGTCTCGGCCAGCGCAAACACGTCGTCTAGCAAGTTGGAGCGGTCTGATATTGTTAGCTGGAAATGTTGAAATCTTCATTAATGAGGGTTTTCGCGTATGAAAAATCCGCCAGATGGCAATACGTAGACGCAAGGTCCAAATGCTGCATGATTGGTTATTTTTGGTTATTTTTGATACGTCAAAATCCACCAATCACGCAGCAGTCAGACCCCACATCCACGTCCCGCCATCTGGCGGATCTTTCATACATAATATTTGGACAATGATTAGAAGTTGTTTCCTCATCAGCCAGATACTTTTGACAGTTCCAACTCCTTGCTCATCTTTTTAGGGTAGCTGCCTCTATGGGAGCATACGCTGACAAACTTTCAGCTTTTATAAAATGACGTAGGTCTGGCAGTCACTAGCTCTTAGAAAAGGCGCACACCGTTGATTTTCAGTTGGCCGATAGTTGTGCCCGATTTTAATTTGTATGAAGAATCGGCCAAATCGAGTCGGCGTAGTGTGCGCACTCCCATACATGCCCATACTTATCAACTGCCCGACTAAACTATCGGCCGACGAAAAATCAACGGTGTGCGCCTACTCTTAGTCTATAATCAATACAACAAGCTTACCTGTTCAGCTTTTAGTTTCAATTGTTCGATCAAGCTCTTCCACATGTCTAACGTATAGTTTACCCTGTAGTAGCCTACTTGGTTGTTGTTTATTTTCACCCAATTTTCATCTGCTTCGAGAATCATATCCACTGAAACAAAATAATACAGGGTATGTAATGATGGTAAATTGTTAAGTTATTCACTGCCTGGGTAATGGCCGTTTTCACCATCAATCCCTAATTTTAAGTGAACCTTATGAAAACAAAATTCCTGTTATGTGTTACCATAGGGGTCACTGAAAAGTTATGTATTGATGGTAATTGGTCATTAGTTACCTTTTTGGACGCCGTTTGGGAACCACAGAATATCTTTTTTCGGTCCCTTGTTTGTTGTATAGGTGATTGGAATGAACCAACGGTAGCTGAAATATACAACCGTCATTAGCTTGCATACAGTTAATAAAAAAATATTACAATAATCGCCAGCACATGAAAATATTTTTTGATGGAAAATAGTACTTAGTACCACTGCATAAGATACCAGTGTTTAGCTTGATGTGCCATCGTTCATACTTTAACAAATAAATAACTAACGGCCGCCCACGACTTCGTACGCGTGGATTCCGTTTAACTCCTTAGGGGTTGAAGTTTGGAAAATCCCGTCTTAGTGAGCACCCTACGTTCTAAACGCGGATTTTTTTTTAGTCGAAAGGAGGTGCGTCTCAAATAAGTTAGGGAACCTCTGATACAGATAAATACTCACTCGAACTCCGAGTCATTTGGATACACAGCTTCGGGATCAAGTAGGAAACGACGTTGGGTAAGAACGTATGTGTTTGGTTTCTCGCCTCTGCTTACGGTGACTAGCGGATATCCCATTTGTTTGGTCCATGTATCCATTACGTAACTGAAAAATAAAAGTAAAGAAAAAAATCCAGTTCAGGCGTATTTTTCGACTCAATCTATTTATTAGTTCACCAAAAAAAAACTAATCAGTTAGTGTGGAATCAGTTTCAAAAGCTCCTTTGATTCCTCCTATGTTAAGCAGTAGACCTATTCGTATTTAATCTTTTCGTAGATCAAGTAAATACAAAATAAACTTACTTAATATCCAACTCAGGGTGTTCCTGTTTGCTATAGGGCTCCAAAGACGACAGCAAATCTTGGGTCACTGTGTTGCCAAATTTGTATTTCTGCAGGTAGTCAGACACTCCTTTGCGGAAATTCTCTTCACCTATAAAGCCTTCCAGCATACGGAGAACTGAGGATCCCTTGAAAAAAGAAATAGCTAGTAGAATATAGGGAATATTGGATAATTTGCATAAGGGCTGATTTTTCAATCGTCGGATAACTTTTATCTGAAGAATAAGTTTGGCACATTGACATTTTCAGTATGGGAAATATGTCAAAATGACAAGTTTATTCTTCAGTTAAAAGTTATCCGACGATTGAAAAATCGGCCCTTAACCTAATGAATCGTTTTAATAGGAGGGAAAATGCTACCGTTTTGTATGAACTCGCAAAATCTTGTTCATATGAAACAACTGAATTGTGGCGTCAGACATTATGAACATTAAAATAGGCCTTAGGATTAGGGGTACAACATGTTCAACTGAAATTGTAGTATAACAAGTTGGACATAAAACACTGTTACTAACATTAAGTTAGTAGGCGGTCTTAGAGAGCTTGCGAAATTACTAACCTTGTTGTAAGATATAGCATCAAATATGGCTGTAATCTGGTCCGGTGTGGACACAGTCTGGACAATGGGATGGCTTGAGAGCTTAGCATCGGTCACCAGCACAGAATGTAATGTTTTCGTCAAGAACTGGTCTAACTGAAATAGAAATAAGTCCACGTATTAACAAAAGAAGACTACAATAATATAAATTTTAATTCACTTTTAATTGATGAGAATAATGGGCTTACCATCGTCCACGATGGCTCAATAGCATTCAAGGCTTTTACTTGCATGTAGGACGCAAAGCCTTCATTTAGCCATAGGTCGTCCCACCATTTCATAGTCACTACAAGAAATAAATGGGCAGAGTTAGTTTTTCATAGTTTGAATTCAATTTATTTTCAATTTCACGTTATTAAATTGTTACCAGTTATCAGTGTCATGGTTTCGTTGCTATTCGTGGCAGCAACAAGTAGCCTACTTGACACTTTACTCAGAGATAATGAACGAGGTCTTTAAAATTTTAAAAAGCATACCTAAGTTACCAAACCACATATGAGCTAGTTCATGAGCGATTGTATTAGCTACACTGATCTTGTTTTTAGATGACGCTGTACTGTCATCCACCAGGAAAGACGTTTCCCTGTAAGTGATCAGTCCCCAATGCTCTGTGGCACCAGACACATAGTCTGGGATCGCAATCATATCTGAAACAAAATTCTATTTAAGTTGGTCACATAAAAATATGTAGGTACATGTATAATGTCATTTTTAAAAGTAGGTTCTTATTTACTTTAAGAATAGTATAAGAATAAGAATAAGAATAAAATTTCCAGAAAAGTGCCCTTTAGTTACACTAAACTCATGATTCACGACTTATCAATATACATGTAATTAAGGATTTCTATACCTAATTTGGGAAGAGGGAAGGGCACTTCGTAGTACTTCACATAAAATTCCGTTGCTCTCCTGCCAATATCTTGGGCAAAATCAATCTTATGCATCTGATTCTTTTGCGCAAAGGATCTAAGAATAAAGTTCTTTCCAATCCCGTTGGCGTTTATTTCATTCTCCTTGTAATCAAAGTCACACACAACGAAACAAGCCAAATAAGTTGACATTGGGACGCTTGTTGCAAAAGTAACCAGTTCTGATTTGCCATCTTCAGTAGGCGATTTAGATATTTCCTGGAAGGAAAAACCATAACAATATTAATTTAATCAATTAATAATACCATCATAGGACCATTAGAGAGAACACTTATTATTAGGTCAGTTTTCAAGGATTAAAAAAGGACTCTCTTAGGATGCTCAGTCACATCATTGGTAATTATATTTAATGATTGATTTTCCTATTTAATATTGTTTATTATTTATTTAACTACTCAAAATGTATTTTCTTAAATCATGACAAATTACAATTCTTAGAAGCTCAAGAATTAGAAGGGCTTGTAATTCAGATTCTTAGATTTCTAAAGTTGTATGGAACTCTAAATAAATATAATTTACTTACATTCATGTTAGACAAAGCTATGTATGACTTTGGCTTCACTAAAGAAATGTCGTATGTGGCTTTGAAATCAGGCTCATCAAAGCATGGAAAAGCTTGTCGAGCGTATGTTGGCTGAAACTTGCTGGCCACCATGGTTCTGAAACAAAAAAATAAGTACCTAAGTAAAAAAGTTGTCTACCCAATAGTCATTGTGTTATAGTAAACTATATTGAAATGATTATTTATGTAGGTACCTATTATCCTGCAATCTTGATGAATAAAATCCAACAATATTCCTAGTAAGGCTACCATTAAAATCAATGACCATTTTGTAACTTCCCGGCACAATAACATTATCAAAATGTATCAGCAGCTGTTCAATTTGCTTCACTTCTAGAAACTTGGACACCTGAATTTCTTCTTCGCCTTTAAACACTTTCACAGAAGTTATATCTAAAAAGTTTGTGTGTAGAGTGATGTAGCTCTTTTCTTGTTTGACGGTTACATCAATTTTCACTGTTCCTTGAAATAATCCCGTGTCCATATTAGGGTGCAGAGAGAGGTCATAATGAACGGGTCGTACTAGAGAAGTCAATCTCTCATATAATTTGTATTTTGTGGATGTTTCCATCGTTGTAACAGAGGAACTATAGAGCCGGCAAAATTGCTTCACAATGCCTGTAGTTCTCGGTAAAAAACGAGAGAATTTCGAAATCTTGAAAGATGTCATAAAATGCTTTTAACTAAATAACACAAAACACAACAAATTTAAATTTAGGGATTTATCATTTATTCCCTACAAAATCAAACAAAATGAAAGCAATATTGCATCAAAATGACAGTTTTGATAAAAAAAAAGAGAAGATATCTCAACTAGCCAAAGTACTGCACAGTACAGTACTAGCATGAGGTAGCGCCCTCTTTATTTCTTGACAAAAACTAATTTTATTTAGGAGTGTGTTTCTTGCATATTGCTGAATTAATTAGAAATCAACTTAAACATGTGATGTTGTAGGGATGTGAAAAAGTATTAAAATCTTCATTTTTGAGGTTTAAGTACCTGTATTTGATGTACCTGTCAGAATATTAGAGAAAGTTTATGAAGCTGATTTTACATACTAGATTTGCTTTTTGCGCGCAAGTTTTGTAAGAAATTGCAATCTAGTATGTAAAATCATCAAACTTCTAATGCTCGTAACTCAATTCAGACTGAGTTTAGAGGTACATGTAATAGTAAGTTTGGTTTATTACATTTGTAATCAAAAAACAAGGTTTGGTCGATGGCCGCGCGAAAAATCAATAATTATGACGTTTTACTTTATCATTCGAGAAACTTATTATACAATGTTTTCTCAGTTATTATAAGTTCAAATTTTAATATAGATGGCGCTTATTTTTATTTCAAGCATTTGACTCTTTGATTTAACGTCATTTATATTTTATGTCATTGTTTTTATTTTAACGTTTAAAGTATTATAGTATACAGATAAAATAAAGACGAAGATAATAAAATAAAGATTCATGCGCATCAAGTCGGCTGATGACCAGACCTGACATTCGGATTGTATCATTGAAGTTCGGGTCTTTTTAACTTATATAATAGTATTATCTCTCTGTATTTTAATATTCATTTTACTTCCCCTTTACTAATTAAGGTTACACGCGAGTTAAACACTTGTTTCAGTGACGTTTTTTATTGAAATGCAATTTTAAACTACAGTTTGACGCGTCTGTACAATGTTCGTCACATTTTGTATAAACGGGGGAATATTAATAATCTTAAAAACAAAAAAACTGCACATAGTCGGCAGTAACCTTAAATCCTTTAATGCAACAACCTTGAAGATTAAAACGTTAAAATAGCCAGATGTAATGTTCTGTCAAAATACTTTAAAAAAGTTTAGGCGGGAAGAAGTTATTTTTTTATTCTAAAACACTACTCTCATTTATACTTATACAAAGCATTTTAAATAATAATGTTTTATCTAGGCATAGGTAAATAGAGAAGAACAGAAGATTACTACTTACTACGTGCCGTTAATTGTTGTTAGTTCACAAGACTTGACACCGATGCTTATAATCTCTCGAGGAAATTGTCAGGTTCAATTTTATTACAAGGTAAGGTCCTACCTTATTTTTAATAAAAAAATATTTTATTTTAATTTACAGTTACAAAGCTAGTTAGTACCTAGGTAGGTACTGCGTAGGTACGCAGTTGTGGAAAATAAGTAAGTAATATTGTATCTTTGTCCCCGAAGAAATTAAACACGTTTGTTTATAAATTCAGTACCTGTTTTACATTGCTGCATTGGCAACTCCAGTCAATGATTTCACCCTGTACTATAGTAGATAGACCCTTTCAACAGTTGATATAGACTAATAATTAAGTAGGCAAGTTTAAAAAAATGCTAGGTAGGTACTTACTTTCCATTTTTCAGAGTACTCGAGTAAAACCCAATGAATCCTTTATCCAATCGCCCGCTAAATTCTATTTTTAGCGCATAGCTACCTTTCTGGATTTCGTCTTGTAAATTGACAACTAAAAATTCTCTTTTTCCTGGAACTATGTGAATGGCATCTATTGATATTTTATCTTTGCGCTTTTTTGTGAGAGATGTTGTCGTGATATTTAATTTGTTTGAATGGAGCGTTATGCTCTTTGTAGGATTTGTTACTTGGAGAGAAATTTCCACGACACCGTGAAACGTTTTGTTCGTCATGTCGGGTTGAAGGAGCAATTTGTAGCTTCTCGGAATCGTGTGTCTTGGCAGTCTGTAGTAAGCGCTCTGAAATGGAGAAATTGTATATAATTACAATAGACTGACATTAACAATATAATTTGTATCTATTATGTAGGTAAGTATCATCTAGTTTTTTCAGTGTGTAAGTAAAGTATTCAAAATTTTACTTATTACAATTTTATTTTTATTTTATTTCAAAGAATAATATAAAGCAATTATTGTAGGTTACTTACTTATAATATAATTATTTATTATAATTTATTATAATATATTAATACTTTTAGTAGGTTTAATTTAGTGTTGAATTATGATAAGTACGTAGGTAGGTACTAAGCGCCTATTAATTTGAAATATTATGTTTTCTGCAGTAGTTGAAATAAAAAATTTGTAAATAAATATCGAAATGAAATAATGAATTTTTAAATAGGTAAACAAAGTAATATTAACTAAGCATTATTGAATTTTAAATAAAACAGCTCGAAACAAATTAAGTTGAAGTGCATGAGATGTTTTTAATAGCCTTACCTTATTTGAAACGAGATCATCTTCCTTCCTTTCATTATTAAAATTTTTTTGAGTGTAAGGCGATCCCTCCAATGGACACGCCGATGCGTGCTTAATTCTGCTAGAAAGTACCACAGTTGATACAAGGAAACAGACCGTGGTAATAAGTAGAAATATCACCAATTTGTTGTCATTGGTCCATTGAAGAAATTTGGACATGTTCTGGGGAAATAATAACGTAATTTATAAACGACTCTTAGTCAGTCTGATATTTTCATATTGGTAAAAGGTTTCTTTAATTTCAATAAATATGATGAGATCAGTAATTCATACATACCTTAATAACAATGGGGAGGTAAAATAAAATAAAGTAAGTATTTCTAATGACTTAAAATGCATCATTCGCGTTCGCAAACACAAGTTAATAAATAAAAATAATAAATCTGTAATGTCAAGGACGTCAAGGTGTTTTTTAATAATATTCACATTGATTATTATTCATATTGATATACAGGGTGTTAGGTAAATGGGTAGGTATATGAGCCGACACTAGCCCATGTTAACATATGCATAATAATAAATGATATGGTAAAGTCAGAAAATTGATATCATCATTTTAATTATTTTAATTTTCATACAAATCTGATTTTATATTTCTTTTTGTATGAACATTAAAAAAATTAAAATGATGATATCTAATTTCTAACTTCACCATACCATTTATATGCGTATGTTAACATGGGCTAGTGTCGGCTCATATACCCATTTACCTAACACCCTGTAGAATGGTCGATAGCGATGGGTTTTACCTACTTAAGTATTTTCCTTAATATTTCTTCTTCTTTTATTTATTTTGGCCACGACTTGGTTTTGAGAACCATGATTTCGCCAATGTCACGTAATCAGCTTAGACAAAGTTTACAGGGTTTATAAAATTCAAAAATGTTTAGGTCCTTATCATTATTTTAGTCTTCTATCAAAATATTGTCATACGTACTCTAAGTAGGCTATTAAGGTATTCTGTGACATTGATACACTTTCCCTGGCCCAAATTACGTAACGCATTCAAATTATTATCTATCAAACAACGATTCATTGTGCGTACAGTCCACGCCAATCGAAATTGGCAATCTTGCAAACAAATAGTCGAATCGAATCGTCTGTGTTTCTAGTGACGAGAATAACTAAACGATGGCAAAATCGAATTATGCGGAAATCTCTGAGGCAGTTTGATAGCAGTTTCAGTTTTATCTTAGTAATTCTATAAACAAGATTACCAAAATCTCTTCAAGTGAAAGTCATCATCAATTTAAATAACGTACCTAACTAAGTATCATTAATTATCTTACGAAACTTAGCCTGAGTTGCACCATATTACTTTAATTTTGACAAACGTCAAAAATGTCTTAGACTGCTCAACAGAAAAAGTTAGAAAACTTTTACTTTACTCCTTAGAAAAAGCGCCGGTTAATGTTAATGTTACAGTTAAAATACGGTGATGCAACTTCGCCTTAGTCGTACATTTATCTATGTATGTAGGTATGTATTATGAAGCATAAAATTAATTTAAAAAACTATAGGTACATAGAAAATTAATTTACTTACGTATAACTGATCTATAATTCAAATCACATAACTTTCCTTGAAGTTACGACGGAATACTGTAAGTAAACAATTTAGGTTTCAACAACGTTTCCATAGAATTCTTGAGCGTGTTATTTTGTTTCTTAGCAACAAATTAGGTAATAAATAAGTAGTGTTGTTTGTCTGTAGATGTAGTAAAAGATTTCACTGACCTTCTAATTTCACTTAGCACTGTTACTTCATCACGTAGGCAATCTAATGTTAATTAATGATTTAATTCAACACTTTGTACGTGGAATGCCTTAACATAAACGTCGCGTAGAAATCACAACAAGTGAATGCGAATTTTAATGTTTACCCATTAGTTCTAGTAATAAACGGTTTGTGTTGGCTCCGTCAGGCGCGATTGAGTGACATAATGGTGACCACGGTTTAGTGGGGTTACCCCCACTTTGTTTTTATTGCGTTAAAATGTAAATTGCGTCTAGTTTTTATTCTCGTACTAAACGGCTACCACAACGGCTACAGTCCTTTTTTGATAGGCAATTAGTGTTGCTGCAGTTACAGCAATCAACACAGGTTGCGATTGTGGGTTCGATCCCGCTGGGGACATGTCACAATAAGAAAAAAATCGATTTATTTTAAATTGATATTTAGAGATAACTCTGGAACAAAAGATTAAAAAAACTATGCTAAGAATAAGCTTTTATTTGTGGAGTCACATTGTTTTAAATTCACAAAGTAAAATATCATTTTCATGCCAGTCAGAGCATAATATTCATATCTCTGAATCCTACTTACCTTCTACCACAGATAATATAATACTAGTCTTCTACGAAACTTGGTGAGCAATATTCGTTCTCAAAATTCGCAATAGATCCGAATAACATTTCAGTTCCTCAATCTCACTTCGGTGGTTTCACTTCACGCTCTAATAATTTTATTTTGTCAACCAGGAGACGACTCCACACCATGTGAATAAAATTATAGTTTAATAGGTTTTTTTATTTAATAATAGGAAATTATTGTGGAAAAATAGTAATTTAAATATGGTTTTTAAATGAGGCATAGATTTTGCTTCATTCTGGACGAAATTAATACACCCTACTACTACTTACAGCAGATTTTATCCTAATCTTTTCTCGAGGGACCACTTTTAATTTCATTTGAAGGAGTTAGGAATAAGAAAATTAAATAGGTAACTGAAAATATTATGTTTTATCAGATATTACAAGCGTCACACTCTTTTCTTTATTATGCCTGGTGATTTTTTGCTTCTCAAGTATGTAAAATAAAATTATTACTTTTACTGTCTACATCAATGATATTATAAAAACAAAAGTTCTATAATATCATTGGTAATATATTTTTTCTTCGTATTAATTTTTAGTTTGAAGTGGAGTGCTTTCAGTGGAAAGGCACTGCAATGTACCGCGCGAGAAAATTCAAGGACACATTAATTTTTCTAATGTAGACTACCATAAAGGTAATTTTTAATCTACACTACAACTAAGCTAAATCTTAGATACGTTGGTAAGAGGCGTAGGTATGGCAGGAATTAGAATCTTCCTCTGTCCTCTATTATTTTGAGTACTAACTTGTTAATTTTATTTGCAATATCCATAAGTTCTAAATCCATTTTTATTTGTATCTTGAATTGTAAGCCCGGTCTCAGTTTACAAAAGTGAAATAAAATCTCGAAAGGAAACTCCGTCTACTTTTTCAATAAGTCGAAGTTAAGTCTCGGACTCGTAATTTTCTCAGACATCTAATGAACTAAAGAAAAGTGCAACTATTTCACAATAAAGTTTAGAGTTTTAAACTTTGTTAGTAAGTCTACAGTAGTATTTTTATTGTGGTCATCCGATTCTTAGCAATCTAGGTATGCCAGTTTCCATACCTTGACTAATCAAGTTGAAGTTTCATTACTCAAGGTAAAGCAAATGGTCACTATTTTATAGCTCTGGTACAATCTAGATAATGTAGAGTCATAAATAACTACTATCAAACTGTCAATGAAAACAAATAAGTGCAATGAATAAATGTCATATCAAAGTGAGGCACTTACTTATAATAATAAAATTGAATATAAGTAAAACTCCAATAATGGAAAATTCTATATTCTATAAGAGTGGTCACACCTAGTTAGGTGCGGATTGAAATTTTAATTGTACTTTACAGTTCTTTGAGCTTAATTTTTATTCGATTCTGTATACCTTCAGTATACTTACCTATCCTCATTTTCTATACTAGCTTAAGAATAGAGTTTGACTTAATATGCCCTGAACCTAATAAAATATGAAAAGTTTCTACTTAAGCAGATAATTTGCAGGCTCAAGTTAAAATCTCAGGTATTAATCATTTGGGTATAATAAAGAATCAATAACAAAAAGATTATAAAAATTAAAACTTTAATTAATCAAAACAAATAATTTAGTATTACCTAAAATAAATAATAAATTGTATACATAAGAGACTGCTCCAAGAAGAGACAGTTAGTTAAGTATTTACAAGAATGAATTATTTTAATTAAATGATGTATTTACAGGTAGTCTTAAAGTTAGAATGTACAGACAAATTATGCTTATAATATGTTTGTTTTCAATTATGCTTATAATATGTTTGTTTTCAATAGGTGTTGAAAAACAACCCCGCGCCCGTATTCACAAACATTACTAAGAGGTCTCACAGTGCGCGTGGACGCACAGGGTGACACACGAACCAATTACAGAGCTCTATTCAACACTGTGCGTTCGATTTGCTGCTTCACTTAAGTAAGCATCGTTTGTGATTACAGGTGATATAGTCTTAATACTACGTATCACCTATCTACGGACAAACAAACCAAAAAGTCGCTCAGTGAAAGTTCATTAAAAAGTCTCATACATAATTGTTTTTGTCTGAGGAATTTAGGCTTCCTTTTTTACTTTTGCTCTCAAAAGTGTATACAAATGCTACTTAGTACCTAGTATTGATAGTAATTAGGTGGAGGCCTCAGATTTTAGAGATGATGCTGTGGGTGGAATAATATTTTTAGGTAAATTATGTAGGTACTTTTAGGTACAATCACTGAAAAATACTTATAATAATTGATATAAGTACAAGACAATTTTTCATGATAAAAGTATGACTTAGAAAAGGCTAAAGCTAACTTAATTACCACAATCTTAAAAGATTTTCATCCTTTGAATACTTAAATGTGCGAACGTGCTGCCATTATCACATTTAAGTATTTTAATAAATCTAGATTAGCTAGGTCTTACTTAGTAAGAGAGTCATTGTTGAAGAAACAACCTTTTTGTAGAAAAACTGAAATCGTCTGGTTTTGTCACCGCAATGGAAGCAGTGGTTTACATACTTTTTTCATAATCCTGCTAAGCTGCATAGGTAAGTATGTATAGGCCTAAAGATGCCACCAAAATTTTCGTCGAAAATAAACAAGGAAATTGTTCTTATTTTCCTTAGAAACGAAATTAAACACAGACACTGCGAACCAGATAACCGTCACTTGACGGGGTTATTGAATGTCGTCACTTTAGAATAACCGAACATTTTGAAGATTTATTAATAGCTGAATTACTGGATGAAAAGGTGGGAGAGCTTTTGGGGCTCCACGAGTTTATCACGAGTAGTGGACTGCCCTAAACTGATATTTCTCTATCAATATCTTTATTCTCTCTCTCTACATAGCCTTTAATTTACGTATGCACCATACTCTTCCATCCCGTTTCCATGGTACCCATAGTGTATATCTGCCATCACAGCATCTCGTCCCTTTACGGCGTTATTATTTTTAAACGCGTTAATAATAATCAGCATGAGAGCGAGTTTTCCCACGAAGAGAGACTTCATCAGCATGAACTTGAGCATGCTGAGGAATAGCGGGACTATCGTGGACTGGATGAGGAACGGCATGATGAACATCGGCAGGATTCGCTCCAGGAGCTTCTTCTGCTTCCCTCGACCTGAAATGAGACACAGTTTGAATTACTTAAAGGCTTTAGGGTACCTATTTTGAGTATTTTTTGATGATGTTGAATTAAAATTTATTTTTGGTAAAATCCTGAGGCTGCTTAGGATGACTTTAGGAGGACTTTAGGATGAAAGTTTTAAGGGGATAATGAAAACCACTGGCTCGTTCGATTTAGTTGCCTATATTTTAGACATTGTGATGTATTTTCCTGTAAGGTACCTATGAACACAAAAGATGAAAAGTTATATTTAGGTAAGGAGGTACGATTACTTAGGTATTGCTTTCTATTATCTCGTTTATGTGAGTACAAGTAAGTGCAAGTGTTAAATTAGACTGTGTAGCAGTTAGATAATACGAGTATCTATTAATTTACATAGTGCTCAGGTTTAAGTTAAGAAGTGATTGTGGGTTGAATGAACGCCTTATTAATACGTTCGTGTTTCTTTTTTCTTCAATAAACACTTATTTTATGTGCATAAAGTTATCCTAATAAATCGGCGCAACAGATTTCATTAATATTAAACAGCTACAGCAGGAATCAGACGGGTGATGTGCTAGAATGATTAATCATTGAATTGTATGAGACTTGTAAGAAACTTATACCAACACTTACTTTCCATAGTTAAGGCTGGTTAGTAATTAATTGGAAGCCACAACCAAGAAATTGGTAAAAAACATAATTATTATTATCGAGGTGTGGCGTGGCATACCTACCTAATTACAGAATAATGTGGATTCAAAATCCACAGTTATTTTGGGCTCATACAAGTATTTTCACCACTAGTGCAGCGCCTAAATGCCGTGGACTAGATTTTTTGGCGGCTTAACATAAATAATCTATTTGTGCGGCAATTAAGCCATCAAATAAGTAAAACTTAACCAGTTGAAGAATTCTTGCCCATCTTTGATGTTCGTCTTTATTTGGTAATTTAGAAAATATTATTCTTCACGTGACGTCATTAGTATGCCGCATGGGTAGCTACGTGTATGATAGTATCGTTGCCGCCAGTACGCATTCTGCTCACTACCTATAGCCGGTCGTTGATCTGGTTATCAGTGCACGCAATTTCTCCACTTTCCCAAGTGGCAAATAAAACAAAAAAACATCATTAGCAGCGGGGGCGCGCGCGCCGATTTTTGTCTTGGGAATTTTTAAATTCAGATCACATAACGGGTGATCTGAATATACGAGCTATCGAAAAGTAGGTTATAATAATTGCATGCTACAGCATAATTATTTTGTTTTAATTGATCTTTTTTATACCCGCCGTGTTCCATTACTGAGAAATTTTAAGTAGGTAATGCTGGTATAAAATGCCTCAGTGAAACCTACTTACCTACTGAAATACTCAATACCTAATAGTTTACTTACGGTTAAAAAGTAACCGTACTTACATACCTATAATGTGCTGTGTAATACAATGACTTTAAGGAAAACCTATTTATTTATTAACTTTTGCTGACTGAGGCTTATGAGTGAATCCCTCACGTTCTTAAAATTATTGTTAAAGTATTTAAAATTTTACATGTAGATTGTAGGTATGTTGCCGGAGCTTTATAACTCCTGAAAGTTAGGGANCTGACATTTCGGATTTTTCCCGTAATCTGGGTCGTATATCCGATCAAACGTCATTTTTATTTTTTTTCTGCCATGACTTCTTCTGTCTGTCCTTAACTTTAAAGTCACCCATGTCGCGAAAATTTGTTTTCCCCATAACTTTCAGTGTTGCCAGACTTTTTTCATAAAAATGGTGAAATGTCATTCGGGTCCCCAAACGTCACCAAACAGCATACCAAATTTTTGGAATTTTTGGAAATTTCCATTTTCTACTATTCGGGGCCGTGGTGGAAAATTTTCTTCCAAAATGGTAGTTTTTTCCTGTTCATGGCAACACTCGAGAAACAGACCAACAATCGCCCGGAACATTGTACCCTACTCCGGTGTCGCCATCTGCCGGAAAATTGCTACCAAAGTTTGGGAATTTTTTGATCGCAACAAAATGGCCGACGGCTCAGCCGCCATCTTGTTTTTTGATAATCTGTAAATGAGGCCTTAAAGCAGACTATACAACGCCTTAATAACTAAAAGAAGTTTAAAAAAAAATGGCGCATCTTGGAGTGACACCTCCCCAAAAACACCCCTGAAAACGCGTTTTCAATCCAAGATGGCGGCGCGGCCATTTTGTTTTTCCATTTTTTTCTCACATTTTTGAACACACCTTGGCAACCCTAACAAACCACCAAAAAAGAAAAAAATCAGGACCAAAAACAAAAAAGTTGCTGTTTCAAAAAGTTCCGCCATATTGTTTTTTGGTTCAAAAAATATAATAAAGCTGGCAGTCGAAAAATCTAGTTTAAAACAAACACTAACAATTTTACCCCTCTCCCCTCTAAATACCCTAAAAATACCCCTGATCAGTGAGTGAGTCAGTCAGTGGTAATCGAGCTTTATATATTATAGAAAGTTAGGGATATTTCCCATCGATACAATTTTTAGGAATGTTATTAAATATTAAAATCAATTTAACCTTTAAAAATTTAAGAGTAAGGAAGAATGATTATGAATCATGAAAAATTCACTGGATTTTATGGCGGCTGTTTCCTGAAAACCTTTTTCATGTCGGCAGGTAAGTGGTATTATCATTCAAAAAGTCTCAAAATTAATATGAATGATCCTTCTGGACTAAATGAGTTGGAAGATAGCAAATAATAAAGCCTGTAACCCACCTACGACTGTACTCCCGGTGTCCACCTCCAAAGACATCACCGGTCCCGTGCTGTTGCTCTCCTGGGGTATATTGACCCGGACCCCATCAAAAAGTTCGATTTTCTTATCAGGTGCAGGCGCATCTTGCACTGTGGCACTCACACCAGCAACACAGACCACTGCACAGAGGACCCAGAGAGCGTGAGCGCTCATTCTGAAGGTTGTTTTGACTGTGATGCGCCGGCGCCGCCCCACTACGGACTACCGCTAGCCAGGGCCAGGCGGGCTCCGTATCACGACCACGGGCAATTTCGATCCGGATTATGTAGTCGAATATTCTTATGTAATTTAATTATTTAAGAAAGTAGTCGGATAGCTATTTTATTTTTAGAATATAGGTTTATAGTGTGGCTAACTCACAGTATATTTTATCTATTACATATTAAGAGGGTGTGGCTAGGCTCGTTGAGGGTACTTATGCTCCAAAACACTTTGCACGAAATGTCTCTTCTATAATAATAAACGTTAATCTATCTAAGTACACTTGCGAGCAAAAGTATGGAATTACTTACATGAAGTTGTTTCCACGCGATCTTGTGAACTAACGAATTTGTTAGTAACAAAAAAGTGGCACCATTTTAAAGATTAAACTTTTAACTTTAAATTGATACCAAATTCATTTAAATCACACCAGTATTTAAAAAGATGTCCCGGCTGATGTAAAGAAGTAAGGAATAAGACATGTATCAACTGTTTGATACGTCGCGAGTTGCGGCCTATTTACCCCCAAATAAAAGCACGTGTTTTCTGATTTTTGCTTTCATACGTTGATCCTTACACATCTCCGCTTCTTTTGACACTTTACCTGGGATTCTACACCTTCAGAAGCAGCACAAATTGTTGCACTATTGCAAGAAGGGCTCAGCCAGCGGGCTGTCGCACGTCAGCTCCATATATTAAGCCAGTCTTGGGTTTCGAACGTTTTAAGACGCTTTCAGGAAACTGGTGGCTTTATCCCGAGACCAAGTTCTGAACAGCGCCGGTGCACATCGCAGAAGGATGACCGTTTTTTCATGTCTAACTCTAGGGTAGCTTCCCCTACATGTAAAGTGGGGATGAATTTTTTTTCATCTTCTACCTCATCGTGTGGTGTATCGTTGGATAGCTGAAGTGCCAATTTTTGTCCGAGTAGGGCGTCCCCCCCTCTAAAAACTAAACTGTTGGCTTGAAAAATCTGGAAAAATTCATGATAATAGTGCTTTTTATGAACTTTCAAGGAAAACTATAGCGGTTAATAAAGGTTAGTTAGTTCAAGAGTAATAACGTAAATGCGCCTATTACCGCCAGTTTAAGCTGACTTCGGATAAACGTTAGAAAATTAGATATAAGACGTGGTGATAGAAAAGACACTTTAATTTATTTATAACAATGATGAAGTAATCTTTGAATTCAAGTAGTAACAATGAGTATTCAATCACACAATAATTAATAAATAGCAATTTAATCTGAATAAGCAGTTGTTTCTATTACCGACCTATAGACGAGGTGTGTTTCTATTAACGTTTTTTCTGTTTCTATTACCGACCGCTAAGAATATTGCTCTTCAATTGGGTATATTCCAAGAGGCACGGGTTCGATTCCCGCTCATAGGCTCGGGAACCACTTGATTTTTTCAAGTTAAATTTGTTTTGCTTTTAGTTTTAGTTAAATTTGTTTTTTTTTTCAAGTTATTTTTTTTTATTGTTAAAAGAGAAAAGGCACGCTTCTCGAAAATAAATAAATAATCAAGCAGAAATAGTAGAATAATAAATTCCTCAATTATACTTGATTACGCGATACCAGGTCTTCTAGTGAGTAGTGGGGGTCATTATTTAAACTATGTATATTTGAGTTTTTAATAAAAAATAATTTGCATTTAATATTTTATTTTTAATTTGACTTTCGTTTTTGACTGATGTTTTTGATTTTAATTGTGTGTAATTGTGTATTTTAATTTAAACTATGGACAATTGGACAATGTCTATATAATTNAATTAATATTGTTATGCAAAAACATGTTGGTATACTCATTTTAAATGTGTTAAAATCGCTAATTAATAACAAGGTGCACCTTAAGTAGCTGGGAGCGCGTCAGTATGAAAAGTGCGTCCGTTGCGGGCGCGTCCCATTTAATGTGAAATAACTCCGTTTACTGGTTATTTACGAACACAAACTTTAATCGTTTTGATAGTCAATAAACATATCTAGATATTTTTTAAGTAACGTGTTTTCTGGAACCTGTTATTATGTCTTTTATGAAAGAAAGAAAAATAGGGCGGTAATAGGATACAAAATTTGGGGGGCCGTTAATAGGCGCACTTACGTTATTCATTTGACACATGTATTATAAAATTTCTTAACCAGTAAAAATTCCTTAGAAGAAAATATGAAAAGTGACTTTAGATGAAGTATAATTGCTTGATTCTGAAATATATTGTGGTAACGACGGGCAACTACGGAACCCTACACTGCGCGTGGCACGACACGCACTTGGCCAATTTTTTATATTGATTAGATTTTTTACATAGACATTTATTGATTGACTTGAGTAGTTAATCCATTAATCACTCGTCCACGAGGAATCATAAAAATGATTGACAGTAATGGCATTTACATAGTCACCTACCCTTATAACTTATCTACGCCTACGTACGTAATCAATTTCGAATTAGATATTTAGGCACTAAAAAGGTGCTTTTCGTCAATATGACTGGTCGAAGTACTTTCCTTCAGCGGTTAATGCTATAACTGGGAGCAGATTACTAGGCATTATAGATTTATCATTTTATAGAGGTCTTGAACACCTATAAAACTGGTTAGAAACTGCATTTAGAGACTGGATGGCGGCCTCAATCAGCTTAGGATTTCACCCCACTGGCAACATTGATAGACACTCGCTTAGTACAAGGTATTTCTTATACGAGGTTTTAAATATAAATAAGTACTAATAAAGCTTGAAGAAGCTTACCACCAAACCAAGTGTGACGACGACCGCGACCTCTCTGCCAAGAGTGTAGAAAAAGGTGCATAAATTATTGACTGTTATTATTTTTATGAGTTTTATAAGCGCCCAGTTGCCGGAAGAAAAAATATAAAAAATTCAATCCGGCGACTTGGCCTATGGACCTAGCTAAAAGCACTAAAAGTGGGTCAAATCGCTGGAAGACTCCATAATACGAGCCTACTTATAACAAGCTTTTGTTTATTTTTTGTAGCAAATTAAATTGCGTAAAAGTTCTAAATGCCTATGGTGACTTTTATAAGCTTTAATTTTTAAATTATTCCCATATCGTAGAAAAGGGATAATTACGATTCTATTGCCGGTTCGCCCATTCTCAGTTGTTCTTTACTGGATCGTTCTACAAATCTTCTTTCTTCTTCTTTCTTTCTTTTCAGCCAAATGACGTCCACTGCTGGACAAAGGCCTCCCCCAAGGTTTTCCACAATGAACGGTCCTGCGCTGCCCGCATCCAGGCTCTTCCCGCGACCTTTACCAGATCGTCGGTCCACCTAGTAGGAGGCCTGCCCACGCTACGTCTTCCAGCCCGTGGTCGCCACTCGAGAACTTTCCTGCCCCAACGGCCATCGTCTCTACGAGCTATGTGCCCCGCCCACTGCCACTTGATTTTAGCAATTCTGCGAGCTATGTCGGTTACTTTGGTTCTCCTGCGGATCTCCTCATTTCTGATTCGATCACGCAGGGAAACTCCGAGCATAGCCCGCTCCATCGCCCTTTGGGTGACCTTGAGCCTTCTTATGAACAAATCTTAATGGGCATATATTTTCTCGGCAGTTGATTCTTTAACTGTGCATGACGAGAATTACTGCTGTTGTCTTGGAGACAGAGATAAAAGCTTAATTGGTAGTTTAAACCCTTTGTTAGGTTAAAGAGCCCTTTTCAGTGAAATTTGCTGACTTAGTTACGGCTGTCCATTTAGGACACATTTGTTCTGCCTCAGCAATTGATTTAACTCGTGTGAAAATCAAATTATACTTATCCACAATTATTAATTTTATGCTGAATGCTAAGTGAGGTCCTTATTATTGAGGAGGTTGGATTGATGACATTTCTTGGGCATAGGCAGGTACCTACCCTACCCTTTCGATTTCCTTAACTCTGTTTTACATTACTTTTTGCTTTTGTGATTTGCTCTTCTATCTATATTTCACTAAAACGAAAAATGACAATATAGAGCACGATAAGGTTAAAATATTAATACCTACTAAAACCTTTTTATAAGAATTTATTATTATTGAATTAGATTATAAAACTGGCTGCATAATTGTGCATCATATTTGCTCAATAAATAACCCCAAATTGAAAAAGCGCNTGATTCGATCACGCAGGGAAACTCCGAGCATAGCCCGCTCCATCGCCCTTTGGGTGACCTTGAGCCTTCTTATGAACAAATCTTAATGGGCATATATTTTCTCGGCAGTTGATTCTTTAACTGTGCATGACGAGAATTACTGCTGTTGTCTTGGAGACAAAATTTTGAGAGATAAAAGCTTAATTGGTAGTTTAAACCCTTTGTTAAGTAAGTCTTTGTAAGAGCCCTTTTCAGTGAAATTTGCTTCTGACTTTATTATTACCTATGATGGACCAACTCATTTCCATGAAATTAGCCTAGAACTTAGTAGTTACGGCTGTACATTTAGGACACATTTGTTCTGCCTCAGCAATTGACTTAACTCGTGTGAAAATCAAATTATACAGGTACCTACCTACCCTTTCGATTTCCTTAACTCTGTTTTACACTACTTTTTGCTTTTGTGATTTGCTCTTCTATCTATCGCACCCTTAATAATATAGGGGCACAACTCAAAATTTTTGGTTTTTTACTTTTTGTACTAGAGAGGCATATTTTCGTCAGTTCTACAAGATGGCTTTCACAGAAATCGAAAACAATGATCAGATTAAAGAGTTCTACATTTTGTGCCCCTTCCATACTTTCATTTATCTTCCCGCTAGAAGGGCTGAATCAGAGACATGCCGATATTTGTCGAATCCGGCCCCCGCGACTGTGGTCCAATTTGGAGTTGTGCCTTTGTGTGACAAACTTTTAAGTAAGTGTTAGTGAGCTAAGTCTAATTAATTCCATATATTTCTAATAATATGTTATGATTCTTGTGAGTGTGGCACCGATTCAGGCACTATCAACCATATTTTCTTCTCCTGTCCTAGTTTTGACCGCTCTGCTTTCCTT